AGCAGAGCTGAAGAAGTAGACACATTAGTAGTGTAATTTATTTCTTCACCAAAATGATAATTGCCATACTAGATTTAATTATAAGTACTATGTGAAACTATTAGCTATAGTCAACATCTGTTTCTCCTGACTTGAGTAGTGATGAATGTTCAAAAAAGGAGGAACAGTTGTACTTAGAAATCAGTTTCATCGTTGAGTCTAACTTCTGATATTTCCCTTTGGGATAAATTCACTCAGACTTTATCTGGGTTTTTTGACTTCCAGAGGTGAAGAAGGAAACCAGAATTGATCATAGGTTTCAGAGAATTATGAGCATTTTGACACATTTTTTTATTAAGGATTTTGAACTCTAACACCTGTTAAGAATCTTTACAGGGTGATGCTGACAGTTAAATGCATTTAAAAAATCCTGTTTCTGAATTAAAATATTTGATACTTTTATCCTTGTTAAGAAAAAAGCAGTGCTTTTCAGAAGGTTGAAGATTACCAGAATTGAAAATTCACTACTTGCTAAGCATAATAGCAAAACCAGAAACTATGAAAGAAACATTTGGTATGTTTGCACTAAAAAAAAAAAATCTCTATAATAGTCACCATAAATTTTGTTAAAAGAAAAATGACAGACTTGGAAACATACTTGTAACATAGATAGCAGGCAAAGGTTATTTAATCCACTTAGGAAAATAACAACATGGGCAAAGAACAAGAACAGATGAGTCACAAAGGAAGGAATACAAGGTGCCAGTAGATAATGTGGATAGATACTCAGCCATGCTTATAATTGAAGAAATGCCAGCAAAAGAAAGAAAATACCCAGAGTTTTCAAATGTGTGGGAAATGGCCACTCCCAGATATGCTTTGGTGTTAAGTTTAAATGTGTACAGACCTTTTAGAGGTAATTTTAATATATATCAAATTATAATTGCATATTCTCCAATTCAGCAATTCCACCTTTGACAATTTATCCCCAGGAAAAATTTGGATACACGTACAAACATAGACATATGAAGGCGCCTGTTGTAATAGTGAAAACTGAGAACCAACCTAAATATCAGTAGTCATAAATAAATTATTTAATATCCATACATTGGAATTTTATGGCAGGCATCATTTTTTCCTCATTTTCTTTATTGTAAAATACACCTTACATTTACCATCTTTTTTTTTAAAGATTTTATTTATTTATTTGACAGAGAGAGAGGGAGTGCACAAGCAGGGAGTGCAGCAGGCAGAGGGAGGAGCAGACTCCCCACCCGCGCAGGGAACCTGATGCTGGACTCATCCTGGACCCTTTGATCATGACCTGAGCCCAAGGCAGTCGCTTAACCTACTGAGCCACCCAGGCGCCCCTTACATTTGCCATCTTAACTATTTTTCAAGTGTACAGTTCAACGACATAAGTACATTGTTGTGCAAACATTACCACCATCCATCTCCAGAACTCTTTTCATCCTGTAAAATTGAATCTCCATACCCGTTCAACAGTGGCTCCCCATCCCTCCCCAACCCCCACTTTTTCCAGGCCCTGGCAGCCACTCTTCTACTTTCTGCATCTATAAATTTGACTACTCTAGATACCTCGTGTAAATGGAATCATATAACATTTGTCTTTTGTGGGGCACCTGGGTGGCTCGGTTGGTTAAGCGACTGCCTTCGACTCAGGTCATGATCCTGGAGTCCCGGGGTCAAGTCTGACATCGGGCTCCCTGCTCAGCGGGGAACCTGCTTCTCCCTCTGACCCTCTTCCCTCTCGTGCTCTCTCTCATTCTCTCCCTCTCAAATAAATAAAATCTTTACCAAAAAAAAAAAAAAAAATTTGTCTTTTGTGATTGATTTATTTAGCGTAATGTCCTAAAATTTCATCCATGTTGTAGCCTGTGTCAGAATTTCATTCCTTTTTAAGTTTAAAATATAGGCATTTTTAAAATTTAATTTTTGAATGGGTAGAACATCTGTTCAAATTCAAGAGGAAGGTTGGGAGGAGGGAAGATGGGAAGCGATTGCTGATTGGCATGGAATTTCTCCAAGGGGTGATGGAAGTGTTCTAGAATTGGTACTATTCGATGTACAACTTTTAATATGCTAAAAACCACTGAATTATACACTAAAACAGGTGAACTTTATGGTATGTGAATTGCATTTCAGTAAAGCTGTTACTAAAAAAATTTCAATGTCAATTATACTTCAGGTAAAATTTTCAAGAGGAATACAATAAATTTCTAATAAAGTGTTCTTAGAAGTTGTCCCTCAACTATTCTAGTTTTCCTTTTTTTTTTTTTTTATTAGAGAAAGCAAGAGATAGAGAGGGAAGGACAGAGGGAGAGAGAGAGAATCCCAAGCAGGTCCCACAGTCAGCACAGAGCTGGTTACAGGGCTCAATCTCATGACCCTGAGAGCATGACCCAAGCCGAAATCAAGAGTAGATGCCCAACCAACTCAGTCACCCAGATGCCCTCTTGTTTTACTTTTTAAAAAAATTATTTGTGTGACTTTCTAGAAATATTTTTATTTCTTATGAATATTTTATTTATAGTAAATGGTAAATATTATTCCCCCACTTTTAACAAAAGTGGTAGTAAATTGAACATGGTGTTCTACACCAAGCAGACATCTCTGAGGTCTGTTTTTCTTAGTTTTAGGTAAAAAGGTTTTGTTTTTTTTTTTTTAAATTACAAAAGGAAAAAAAATAAATCACAAAAGGATTACATGGTTAGATAAGTATAGAAAAGTATGAGGCAAAATGTAAAAGCTAACCATACCCAGGGATAGTCATTGGTAATTGTTTGTATATCCTTTTAGACTTTTATCTCCATGTATATATACTCTTTTAAAAATAAGAATTGAAGGGCGCCTGGGTGGCTCAGTCGGTTGGGTGTCTGCCTTTGCTTCGGGTCCTGATCCCAAGGGACCTGGAATTGGGCCCCGCATTGGACTCTCTGATGGGTGGGGAGTCTACTTCTCCCTCTCCATCTGCCTTTCCCCCTGCTTGTGCTCTTTCTCTCTCTCTCACTCTCAAATAAATAAAATCTTAAAAAAAATAAAAATTAGAATTGAGATCATCCTATACTTGGTATTGTGTAGTCAGCTTTTTTATGCTTAAAGCAATATATTGTGATCATAGTTTTTAATCAGTAAATATAATCTTCATTGTTTTTTTTTTATGGATGCATAGTATTAAATTGTGTGGACATTTCTCACTTACTGTAGCTCATCACCTATTAATATCTATTTAGGTTGTTTCTAATTTTGTCACTATTATAAACAATATATAAACACTATATACAAACAGTATCTTTGTACATACACCTTTGTACCCTTGCCAGGTCATTTCTTGAGATATTTACTACACTGCTATTTTGTAGTCCACCAGAATTTTTTAACAACATATGTTTTAAAATATAAATTACACAAAGATTTCCATGATATTATTATCTCTTTAAAAAGATGGTGCAGGTATTTAAATCCTTATTTATTTTTAAATATGAGGAATCTGAAATGCAGAAAGTGGCATTGTATCCAAAATTGCATAGCAGTTAGTGTGAGAGATGGCGCTAAAACTCATGTCTTCTGATTGTGTGTTAGTGTTCTTTCCATGGTGGCATACTGCCAGTCCTTAAATATCTTCAGTACAAGGGGTGATTTTGTTGTTGCTTTTTCATTTCTAAAAATATGATTCTTGTGACATACTTTTAGATTCTTTGTATAATGTGCTGCAATTTATCCATTCAGATTAAAGGTCCATATACCTTCATTAGGGGTACAGGCTCAAGATGTGCCCTCTCAAACATTTTGTAGTTTATCTGCATTAATATCTTCATTTAATTAGTCACCTATATTGTTATCTTTCCCTGTATGAAAAGCTCTCATAGTCTGTTTTTTTTCCCCTCTTCTGAAAGCTTTAAGTCATGTTATTTTCTCTGGGTAGTACTAGTTTTGGTGGGCTTTGGTTTCAGTGACAACTCCATTATTTGCTGTGTGATCTTGGGCGAGTTACTTAAATCTCTGTAAGGCTAGGGTCATCATCCATAAAATCAAAATAATAGTATGTGTGTCATGGAGATTAAGTGGATTAACACATAAAAAGTGCTTGGCACAATTTGGTAGATACTACTCATTAAATGTTAGTTATTATTTAATATGTGAATTTAAATCCTTGAAAGTCATTTTGTGGGGCGCCTGGGTGGCTCAGTTGGTTAAGCGACTGCCTTCGGCTCAGGTCATGATCCTGGAGTCCCGGGATCGAGTCCCACATCGGGCTCCCTGCTCTGCGGGGAGTCTGCTTCTCCCTCTGACCCTCTTCCCTCTCGTGTTCTCTATCTCTCATTCTCTCTCTCTCAAATAAATAATCAAATAAAATCTTTAAAAAAAAAAAAAGAAAGTCATTTTGTATTTTGATATCCTTTGTATTTTTTTGTGAAACTTTTTAAAATTAATTTATTTATTTGAGAGAGAGTGTGCATGAGTGTGGGGGGAGGGGCAGAGGGAGAGAGAGAATTTCAAGCAGACTCCCTGCTGAGCGGGGAGCCCAGTGTGTAGGGCTCTGTCTCACAACCCTGAGATCATGACCTGAGCCAAAATCAAGAGTTGGACAGTCACCTGACAGAGCCATTTAGGCACCCATTTTGGTGAAACTTTTGTATGATGTTTTTGTAATCCTATAGATATCCCCATTTTCCTCCCCTACTCTTTAGTTCTATGTAATACCTTCTGATTTTGAACAATATCTTTATTTTGTCATGGTTCATGCAGAGTGAGGCTCTGTCATACTTACCTTGTTTCCTGTTGGGAATAAACACAAGTTAAATAACTGAGATTTTATAGATTATCTCAATCATTTTTTTAAGACAATGTAAAACAGAATAATGTGAATCCTAATTTATTGAATTCAGGGTTCTGAGAGCCGTGGTAGCTACTCTCTGACTGACTTCCCCAATCTGCTTCGTTTTTTCTACTTGAGGAGGAAAGCTGATTTGGGGTTTTCTTTTTTGTCTTGATTCTAGCACATGCAGATGACAATCCAGGCTCTCCAGGATGAATTGCGGATCCAAAGGGACCTGAACCAGCTGTTTCAGCAAGATAGTAGCAGTAGGACTGGTGAACCCTGTGTGACAGAGCTGACGGAGGAGAACTTTCAGAGGCTACATGCTGAGCATGAGCGGCAGGCCAAAGAGCTGTTCCTTCTTCGAAAGACTTTGGAGGAAATGGAGCTGCGTATTGAGACTCAGAAGCAAACCCTAAATGCTCGGGATGAATCCATCAAGAAACTTCTGGAGATGTTGCAGAGCAAAGGACTTTCTGCTAAGGCTACTGAAGAAGACCATGAGAGAACAAGACGACTGGCAGAGGCAGAGATGCATGTCCACCACCTAGAAAGCCTTTTGGAACAGAAGGAAAAAGAGAACAGTATGTTGAGAGAGGTGAGTGACTGCTTTTTCCCTTAAGACTTACTGATGGTCTTTTTTCCCCCCTTGAGTAGTCAGCATCTTAGCTTAGATAAATTTATATGTTCTACTGAGTTAGTGGAAAGTAATTTCTTCTTTGGTATTTAAGTGCTTTACTGATTGCTGTTTTGATTGGCTCTGTTGCATGAGATGGCATTGACTGGTGTGTATACTGGCTTGATAACTTTCTGTGTCTTTTTTCCCCCCTCCATTTGGTTTCTGTAGACTCATTTTGTTGCTAGAGGGGCAGAGAATTTTCTTTGTTACTCATCTCTTAATTTGTTCATAGAGACACACACAACAAAACCAGAATCAGAGTACCTAACTATTATTTAATTTTAGAATATTACTAAGAGAAAGTAAGTGGTTACCTCAGTTTAGGTGTGCTTTTATAGTCCTTGGCAGTAGTAATGGATGTTTGCCCTGTGGTTTCCATGGAAACTTGCCTTGCTGTAAAAGATAGGTAATAAAAATCATTTGCTGCCATGGAGGCACAGTGAGAAAGAATGATATAGAGGCACACTGCAGTTACTTTTTATAGAGGAAACTCAGACTTTAGCTGACCACTGTGACTGTTGATAATTTTTTGCTTTTCTAGGTAATGATTCATTTTAAGAAAGTATAAATGAAAAATTATCTTACATTGAATTTGAAAAATTGACATATAATATTCTCTATGTGGCCAGAGACTTTAGCCATTTGGATGGGGAAAAAAAATCTCAGAACTGTGTTAGTGTCAGTCTGAATGAAATATGAGGAAAGAAATAAAAAAAAAGTGGAATATTCCCCAAACAGCAAAATAGGAACTTTATTTTTTTTTTTAAGATTTTATTTATTTATTTGAGAGAGAGAGAGTGAGAGACAGAGAGCACGAGAGGGAAGAGGGTCAGAGGGAGAAGCCGACTCCCCACTGAGCAGGGAGCCCGATGTGGGACTCGATCCCGGGACTCCAGGATCATGACCTGAGCCGAAGGCAGTCGCTTAACCAACTGAGCCACCCAGGTGCCCCAAAATAGCAACTTTAAAAGAATACTTATATATTTGATGTTCTATAACTTCTCCTTTTGTAAAAATTCTGAAATATTTTACAGTGAGGATATTTTATTTTTGATAAAGGGGAAATTCAGTGTTTTTTAAATAACATGATTTTATTACATAGTAAAGTCACTGTAGGTTATTGTAGTAAGATTAGGAAATAGATTAGCAAAAAATCAAAACCCCAGGTATCATTACCTAGCGATAACTGTTATGTATATGTTTCCAGTCATTTTTATTATGTATACATTCTTTCTATATTTCTTTCTCTTAAGAAGGTAGAATACTTGGGGCACTGGGTGGCTTAGTCGGTTGAGTATCTGACTCTTGATTTTGGCTCAGGTCATGATCTTAGGGTTGTGCAATCGAGGGATCGAGCCCTGTGTCCTCGGGCTCTGCACTCAGTGGGGAGTCTGCTTGGGATTCTCTCTACCCCTTCACCCCTGCGCGCTCTCTCTCTCTTTCTCTCTCAAATAAATAAATCTTAAAAAAGAATGCTATCCATTAGTATTGTCTAATATAACTTTCTGTGATGATGGAAATGTTCTGTATCTGCTCTGTTCATTATGGTAGCCACTAGTTACATGTGCCTATTGAGCCCTTGTAATGTGGCTAGTATGACTGAGGAACTGAATTTTAAATTCTATTTAAATATAATTAATCCAGAATTAAATTTAGTTAGTCAAATTTAAAGTGTCTACATGCAGCTAGTGGCTACTGTATTAATGCAGGTATGCATAATGCAATGTCACCTGCTTTTCTTAATAATTTGTTTTGACCACCTTTCTTTTGTCGGGTACAGGTAGGGTTTTGTAATTTCTGATGAACTTATAAAGTTCCATTGCATTTATTTGAATACCTTTTGCTGTTGAAAATTTTATTTTCATATTAATTTTTCAATATTATAAAACTGTGCTGCACTGAATATCCTTAACCATGTATCTCTGTACATTAATTTTTGTATTTAGGATAAATTCCTAGAAATGAATTTGCTCAAAGTGTGTGTACATTTTTGAAACTGAATAATCTTACCTTCCAGAGTGATTGGACCAGTTTATGTTCCTAGCAGCACATAATGTGTTCTTATGATTAATCTGCAGCTATGTACATGTTATGCTCTTCAAATTATCAGACTGTAATATTTTAGAAAATTGTTAATCAACTGCTATGTCAAGGAACATTCTGAGTTTGTTTCAGTTTACTTTGAATTTACTTTACTTTATGACCTGGCCATAGAACACTGTTAGAGAAGTTGTGATAATCTTACACAGCATGCAACATGAAATCTGTACCAACATCATGAATTTCGAATGTTAGGTTTTTAGTGCTTCTGTTCTGAATATTTCGACCTATGCCCATTTATTTATTTTAAAAAAATTTAAATTGAAGTAGAGTTGACATAAAATGTTATGTTATTTTCAGGTGTACAATATGGTGATTTGACAAGTCCGTACATAATGCGCTGTGCTCCCAACAGTATTTGCTACCATCTGTCACCATACAGTGCTATTACAATACCATTGACTATATTTCCTCTGCTGTACCTTTTATCCTTGTCACTTACTCATTCCATAACTGGAAGCCTGTATCTCCCACTCTCCTTTACCCATTTTGTCCATCCCCCCAACCCATATCCCCTCTTGGAACCATCAGTTCTCTGTATTTTTGGACTGTTTCTGCTTTTTGTTTTTTCTTTTATTTTGTTTTTTAGATTCCACAAATAAGTAAAATCATATATTTGTCTTTGTCTCACTTTTTTCACTTAGCATAATACCCTCTGGGTCCATCCATGTTGTCATAAGTGGCAAGATCTCATTTTTTTTTTTAAAGATTTTTTTATTTATTTGACAGAGAGAGACACAGCGAGAGAGGGAACACTAGAAGTGGGAGTGGGAGAGGGAGAAGCAGGCTTCCCGCCGAGCAGGGAGCCCGTTGTGGGGCTCGATCCCAGGACCTGGAATCATGACCTGAGCCTAAGGCAGACGCTTAATGATTGAGCCACCTAGGCGCCCCAGATCTCATTCTTTTTTTATTATGCCTATTTGATTTTGAGTTTTAGAGTTACTAAGTGGTGAATAGTTAAGGATTGTGAAAAGCCACATTGTTATTCTGGCAGAGAATAAGCAGAAATAAGGTGAATTTGAAAAACCAGTAGAAAAAAAACATGAATTTAAGACTGATTTTCAAATAACAAGCTCTACAAATACCAAGTCCCACTCATGTACATAATGTGGAAAGAAATATAGGCCTTGTCAATCATACCAACACACAATTCCAGTTGCTGTTAGTAATATAGCATCATTTTATAGGAGACAAAATAATACGAAGTAAAATCTTTAAGAGCAAGTGGAAATGATTGCTTCAGAGACAAATGTTCTTTTTTTTAAAAGATTTATTTACTTATTTTAGAGAGAGAGAGCAAGCACAAGTGGGGGGGCAGAGGGAAAGGAAGAAAGGCAGACTCCCTGCTGATTGAGAAGCCCTAAGTGGGGCTTTATCTCACAACCCTGAGATCATGACCTGAATGAAATCAAGAGTCAGATGCTTAACTGGATGAGCCACCCAGGTACCCCTGGAACCAAATGTAAAAAAAAAAAAAAAAGAAATCTTTAGAATTCTTGTTCTCTTTTCAGTTTCTCCTATTTACCATCAAGACTTAGACCAAATTTCAGTTCTTCTTTGAAGTTTTCCCCTTGTGTAGCTTTATACATATATGTAGATGAATCAATCATATTATAGTATATTTATATTTACATGTATGTTTCTTCATTATTCACTTAATTTTTTGCATCAAAGATACATTTTTTTTTAAAGATTTTATTTATTTGAGAGAGAGAATGAGAGAGAGAGAGCATGAGAGGGGGGAGGGTCAGAGGGAGAAGCAGACTCCCTGCTGAGCAGGGAGCCCGATGTGGGACTTGATCCCAGGACTCCAGGATCATGACCTGAGCCAAAGGCAGTCACTTAACCAACTGAGCCACCCAGGCACCCCTCAAAGATACATTTTTAAAAAAAGATTTTATTTTATTTATTTTATTTTTATTTTTTTTGAGAGAGATAGACTGCGAGCTGGGGGGTGGGGATGGGGTGGAGGGGCAGAGGGAGAGAGAGAGAATCTTAAGCTCCATGCCCAGCACAGAGCCTAACAGAGGGCTCAGTCTCATGACCTCAAGATCATGACCTAACTGAAATCAAGAGTTAGTTGGTCACTTAACCAATTAAGCCACCCAGGCACCCCTAAAGATCTTATTTTTAAGTAATCTCTATACCCAGCGTGGGGGTTGAATCCACAACCCTGACCATGCTCCTCTTACAGAGCCATCCAGGTGCCCCCAAAAATACATTTTTTTAAAAAGTTTACTTTGAAGATTTATGTATTTAAGAAAGAGGGGCGTGCATGTGCATGTGCACACGTATAGCGGGAGGAGAAGAGGGAGAGAATCCTTAAGCAGACTTCCTGCTGAGCCGGGAGCCCAACCTGGGGCTTGATCTCACAACCCTGAGATCATGACTTGAGCCAAAATCAAGAGTTGGAAGCTTAACCGACTGAGCCAACGAGGTGCCCCACCAAAGATACATGTTTTTTAAAAAAATATTTTGCCAGTGCCTAACAAATACACAGTGGGTACTTGAGAAATGTTAGTTGAATAAGTTGAAATGCAGGCAAAAAATTTAAACCTGGAACTTATACAAAGGATAGAGTTTTGAGTTTTTTTTTCCCCTAATGTGACCACTGGGTACTAAAACCTGATGAAGATTTGAAAACAAGTTAAACCCCAAAGCTAGATTTGCTTCTGAGTTCACTTATACATATTATAAATAAAATATTAGCAGATAGAATCAGCATTATGGGAAAATGATAATACTCCGATCAAAAGGTGTTTATTCCAGGAATGCCAGAATGGCTCAGTATATCATACATAGTTATAATTTGTATTAGG